CTCCTCTCCTCGCCTTGCCTCACCTCGCCTCGCCTCGCCTCGCCTCGATTTGGATGGCAAGAATCTAAACTAACACTAGAAGGCAGCAAAGATCGAATAGGGGAAGGTTGTACAGAAGTTTGTAGCCTGGATCTGGTAGCTAGGAGTGAAAGTTGAACAAGGGATAAGTATAGTACATTAATGTAGCTTAAACCTCTCCCAGAATACATATAAACACTGAGCCCATTCTGAATTATGGAGAATAGTTTGTTCATCCTTACATTTTTTGGCCTCTCTCCCCCCCCCACCCCCGTTTTATTAAGTTCCAAAAGTAATATATAAAACTGTTATTGTTCAAGGACCCAAATCTTTTCCCATAGATTTACAAGTTTTCATGTCCAATGACTGTTTTAATTATGTGGCAAAAATTGCACAATATGTCATGCTAACCAACTATATTTCACCTTTAACCTCTTGGTTTAGATTTAATTTAAATCTTAATTTAAAATACATATATATATATTTGCATGCAAATAAATGAGTTCATTCAAAAAGATATTAAAGGTACCTTCTCAAATGCATACGAAGTAGACAAAAAAAGCTTTAGTTTGCAAGTGCAGACATGACTATTGATAAGATTCTAAATTAAAATGCATAATAATTTTATTTTAAATATGATTTTTATATTGGGATAATATATTAGATTATTAAGTAATTCAAGTAAGCATATACTGGTAGCATTAGAAGAAATTGTATTTTTTTTTCTTCTTCTCCAATATATGATTACTTTAAATAGTCATTAGATATAGGTGAAATAGTTTATGACAAGTTCTACTGAAAAAGTAAATTGCTTTCACTTACAAAGCCAATATGCTTCCAAAGTAATAAACTACATATATAATGTGTACCTCTTTGGTTTGTTTATCAATTTTATATTTCCCATGACATCTTCTATTTCTATCCTACTGTTATAACTATTTGTATTGTCTTGTGGGACAGGATTGGATGTAGAAATTTCTATGACTTGTAATAAAAGCATGAATTGAGTTGGGAAGTCTTGATGGGCAAAATATTCTATGCTTTACTTATTGATGCTGCACTATTCGGAAATACAAATATTATTTTCTTTAAATGCCACTACGTACATTATTATCTTGTTTAATTTTATCCTGTTCAGTTTTTTTTTTTTTTTAATTTAGTATAGCACAAAATACAACTACATCCTGGCTGAGTAATAGCACAGTGACTCCACATTCAACCTGAATTCTCTTTTCACGCGTCTCAGAGGGCTAAATCCCTGCACACTGATTGGAAGTTGAGTCATGGCAACTGGACTACTTTTCCTTTTGGTTAGAGGCTTT